CACAGCACACGGTCACCGAGCTGCCCCTTGAAGGTTTCAGCTCCATTAGTTGCTGTACACACGCCTGCAAGCCCCATCTTCCTAAGGGAAATCAGATTCCCTTTCAGCTCCGGCACCAAAAGCACATCTTCTAGGACGATCGGCTTCCCATCAGCTCCCTTGAAGGCTGCTTTGCCGACGCCCATCACTCTCATCTTGTGCCCGCTCCCTGAATTCATCTCATTGATGCTCGCCACACCAATTTTGTCTAGCAGGTCCGCCCTTGGGGTCATATGATAAGCTGCTCCGGAGTCTAGGATCCATGTGTTGAGGGGATGAGGCTCTGCTCCCTCCTTGGCAGACGCCTTCTCATTTCCCCTACTCCCTTGCACGTGGAAGAACTGTCCAGGAGCACGCTCATAACCGTCTTCCCGTTCATTTGCGGTCTCTGCTACATAACCAACGCCATGAGGTTGGTTCTTCTCGCCATCCTCATGCTCGGGAGTCCACCACTTGGGCCGCTTCCAGCACTTCACCCAAGTATGTCCCGGCTTCTTGCAATACCAGCAGGTGCCCTTGAATCCGCGGTAGCCACTCTCGTCATTCTCGTTAGTAGCCTCTTCTTCATCATCACTCCTGCTGCTCGGCTTCTTGTTGTCTCGTCCGCTTCCATGATGTCTTCGTTCACCACGTCCCCGGTCATTCCCCTTGCGCCATCTACTGCCTTGCATGCCATAGCCGCCGTCGTCCGTCTTGGTTGTAGTTCAGCTGCCTTCCTCCTGAAGTCCTCCTCCAAGACCTTGGTTCGCACCCACTCAAGGGTCCACAACTTCTCATTCTGAGGAAGGCTTAGGCCACTCGTGAATTGCAGCCATGACTCGGGCAGCAGTGATAGCATTCGTAGACACTTTGTTTGCTCCGGGTAGGTGATGCCCGCAATCTGCAATTTCGCGTACAGCTCCCGCATCTTGTCGAGAACCGGTTGAATCGGCTCCCCCTCACTCAGGCGCAATGCCGCCAACTCACGCTCCAGCATGAGCGTTGCAACCACCGAGGTTGGTGCGTGCAACTCCTTCAGCACCTTCCACGCTCGTGGCCCGCAATCAACTTCTTCCAGCAGATGCATTACGTGTGACCGCTGGTTCAGCTCCAAACTTTGTGAGAGAAGGTAGTAGCCGGCAGTAGCACGTTCGTCCCACTCCTCTTGCAGGTTGACATCGTCCGGCCTCTTCTCGACGCCCGTCATCAGCTTCAACAAGCCCACTTGCCGAAAATACAGCTGCATTTTCCACGCCCAATCGTCGTACCCATTGCCGTTGAACTTGTCGACGGTGAAGTTCTTAAGCACCTCTCTCAATAGTGAGCCCTGGCTGATCCGCACTCCCCTTGGCGCTGAACCTCCAGTGTCTTGGCTTCCACTATTGGTACGTGCAATAGAACCTTCCGTTCCGCCCGACTCCATGGTGTTCTAACGACAAGAAGTCCAAAAGGACTTAGAACCAGCTCTGATACCACGTGTTGACTACTATTGGGATCTAGAAACTCTTAAGCACACCTTTAATACACTCTAGGTAGTCCCCACGGGGTCACCTCCAAGGGTCCTCGGGTGCCTGGCAACGCCAGCCCCTAACCAAGGGTCCGTGTTTGTAGAGGGATTTTCCTTAGTGTAAAAACGGTCGTGTGCACTAAGAGCATTCCCAAGCTCAATTGCGCAGCGTTGACGAACGATATGTGCGTGTGCAGAAAAGCTCCTCGCGTCAATACGTCGATAGAGCAATTTTCATTCACCAAAGGATTGATTACAACTTCGCACAAGCATGCAAATATAGTTCGCCTAACACACATGCAAAGGAAAATAGCAAACGGTTGATTAACTGCATTTCTAGGACTTCGCCTTGCTGTCTCGAAAAACGGTTGCCAAACTTCTGCTCCATTTGGCTTGATCCGAGTCCTTGAAATAACTGTCGTCAAGTTACATGTCTGCCAATTGCCCCTGCTGACTCCTCTCGCGAACGTTCATGTACGCACAAGTAGAATCATGAACGTTCGTGTGGGAATTCCCGTTTTCCCACTGTTTACAGTTGTAAAACGGATATTTCCGTTTTGTACCTGTAATTCGAACTGTTCTGTTAGGCGCGCTGCTTTCTCGCGAAAGTTCTATGTGCCACGTCACAAAAAGACACGCTCGAGATTCAGTTTTACAACTGAAATCTCGAGTGAATCCCGAGCACCCCTCGGGATCTCTCGGCACCTCTCGCAACCCACGCGCACCCCTGAGGGCGCGCCGTCCTGACGTGGGCAGGGCGATAATTATCGCCCTGTCTTGTAGCGATCGTGGTCCTTGCCACGCTTGCTACAGTTCGTAGGCACACGCGCGGGCACTGTGAGGCCACACGCGAAATCAGGACCCACGCGCGGTCCTGATTCTCTCGTGATTCTCGCTTGACCAGCGCGAGATATTTCGAGGGGCACAAAACACTCTCGCTCCCCTCATGAACACAAGAACCAAAACAGAAACAAACATGAATGAAACACAAACAGATGAGCAAACATGAACGCACATGAACGAACATGTAAACACATGAACGCTCATGAAGCTTGCACGAACAGCACGCGAATTGACATGAACGCGCGAAGGCTCATGAAAGCACATGATCACTCGGAGCTTCACGCACATTCATGACACGACACAAACAACACGAAATTCACACGAACAATCATGAAAACGCATGAATGGAACCTCACACAAAAATGCACATAACTTATGAACCGCTAAGGCGATTCATAAACCGTAAACGCCAGAATGAAAATCACACAAATGCACATTCCACACCATACAAAATACCTCAAAACAAATACCCTCAAATTTCACATCGCTCGACGAATAGGCGACAGGTTGACGTGCAAAATACGTTTTGCACCCAACATTTTGCACATGCTAGACCCTAGTTCTTTTTATTTTGCACACGCTAGGCCATTGTTCTTGCTATTTCGCGAACGCTAGGCCCTTGTTCTTGATTTTTTGCACACGCTAGGCCCTTGCTCTTGCTATTTTGCACTCGCTAGGCCCTTGTTCTTGCAATTTTGCACACGTTAGGCCTTTGTTCTTGCAATTTTGCACACGCTAGGTCCTTGTTCTTTTTATTTTGCACACGCTATGCCCTTGTTCTTTTTATTTTGCACACGCTAGGCCCTTGTTCTTGCAATTTTGCACATGCTAGACCCTTGTTCTTTTTATTTTGCACACGCTAGGCCCTTGTTCTTGCTATTTCGCGAACGCTAGGCCCTAGTTCTTGATATCTTGCACATGCTAGGCCCTTGCTCTTGCTATTTTGCACTCGTTAGGCCCTTTTTCTTGTAATTTTGCATACGTTAGGCCCTTGTTCTTGCAATTTTGCACATGCTAGGCCCTTCTTCTTTTTATTTTGCACACGCTAGGCCCTTGTTCTTTTTATTTTGCACAAGCTAGGCCCTTGTTCTTGCTATCTTGCACACGCTATGCCCTTGTTCTTTTTATTTTGCTCACACTAGGCCCTTGTTCTTGCAATTTTGCACATGCTAGACCCTTGTTCTTTTTATTTTGCACACGCTAGGCCCTTGCTCTTGCTATTTCGTGAACGCTAGGCCCTTGTTCTTGATTTTTTGCACACGCTAGGCCCTTGCTGTTGCTATTTTGCACTCGCTAGGCCCTTGTTCTTGCAATTTTGCACACGCTAGGCCCTTGTTCTTGCGAGTTTGCACAAGATAGGCCCTTGTTCTTTCTATTTTGCACACGCTAGGCCCTTGTTCTTTTTATTTTGCACACGCCATGCCCTTGTTCTGTCAGAACTTATAGCTTACTTGTTTCTGTAGGCTATAGTGGGGTATCCCATAGGGGGTACAACCCAATTAGGGTTTCCTATTTGTACTCACTTCATTCATAGTCATTCCACTTCTCGTTCGTACTTTCTCATGGAATCAGAGCAGGTCCCTTCCTAGGGCCTGTTCCTAGGGCCCACCGAAGCGCGCCCCGAGGCGCGCATTTTTTTTAACGACCCTCCGAGTCGCCCCTCCCGTCGTGCTCCCGCTTAGGCCCCTCGTCGGCCCCCGCTTAGGCCCCTCGTCGGCCCCGCGTACCCCTCGTCGGCCCCGCGTAGGCCCCGCGTACCCCTCGTCGGCCCCGCGTACCCCTCGTCGGCCCCGCGTAGGCCCCGCGTACCCCTCGTCGGCCCCACGTAGGCCCCGCGTAGGCCCCGCGTACCCCTCGTCGGCCCCGCGTAGGCCCCGCGTACCCCTCGTCGACCCCGCGTACCCCTCGTCGGCCCCGCGTAGGCCCCGCCCAGGCCCCGTCTCGGCCCCGTGTCGGCCCCGCGTAGGCTCCGTCGGCCCCGCTTAGGCCCCTCTTCGGCCCCGCGCCGGCCCCACCTACGCCCTGTCGGCCCCGCGCTGGCCCCGCTTAGGCCCGCCACCGGCCCCTGCTACAGCCCGCCGCGTCGGCCCCGCCTACAGCCCGCCGGCCCGCCTAGGCCCCACTTCGGCCCCTCGTCGGCCCCACTACAGCCCGCACCGGCCCCTGCTACAGCCCGCCACCGGCCCCGCTACAGCCGCCACCGGCCCCTGCTACAGCCCGCCACCGGCCCTGCTACAGCCGCCACCGGCCCCTGCTACAGCCCGCCACCGGCCCTGCTACAGCCCACCACCGGCCCTGCTACAGCCGCCACCGGCCCCTGCTACAGCCCGCCGCCGGCCCTGCTACAGCCCGCCGCCGGCCCTGCTACAGCCCGCCACCGGCCCTGCTGCAGCCCGCCGTGCTGCACGTGAGCAGCCCCAGCAGCCCGCGCCGCCCGTGAGCCCCTACGCCACCCGAGCCGCGCGAGCCGCCCGAGCCGCCCGAGCCGCCTGAGCCGCCCGAGCCGCCCGAGCCGCCCGAGCCGCCTGAGCCACGCGAGCCACCTGAGGAGCCGTGCTGCTGTCCCTGAGCTGTGTTCCTCTGCTGCTGACCTACCCGACTCTTCCACCCGGTGAGACTTTCAGCTGCTGCCATGGCCACCCCCAATGTTCTTACTTTTGACGCTGAGGGGAGGGCCATTGACTTTGCCGTCTGGATTGAAGACCTGCAGCTGTACTTACTGTGTGATGCGATAGATGAGGTCTCTCTCTTTGACTTTGTCTCTGGAGCTGTCCCTGCCCCGCCTGCTGATGCTGACTCTGCCGTTCGCTCCAAGTGGGCGACCCGCGATGCTGCTGCACGTCTTGCTGTGCGTCGCCACCTCCCTTCCTCTGAGCGTGCCCACTTTAGTCAGTGCAAGACCGCTCAGGCCTTGTACGACGCTGTAGTTGCACGCTACTCCTCCCCTTCCTCCGCTACCCTTAGCCGCCTCATGCTACCGTTTCTCTTCCCTGACCTCGCTTCCTTTCCCACTGTCGCTGACCTCGTTACCCACCTCCGCGCTAGTGACGCTCGCTACCGCGCTGCCCTTCCTGCTGAGTTCCGCGCCGCAAACCCTCCTCCCATGTATATCACTCTCTACTTTCTCGTCACCCGTCTTCCTGAGTCCCTTCGTGTCGTTAGGGACCAGTTTCTCTCTGTCTGTCCCACCACCCTCACTGTCGACCTCCTTGAGGAGTCCCTGCTAGCGGCTGAGAAGAGTATAGTCACTGTAGGGGCCTCTAGGGGTGACCCTCGCACCCCCATCTTTGAGGGGTGTTCTCCTTCCCCCCTGCTGCCCTCTGTCGCCTCTGCTGCTACGGCCGACCTCGCTGGTTTTGAGTCGGTCGGTGCGGCGTCTGCCCCCAGCGGCAGACGCCGCTCTGGCAAGGGCAAGGGGGGCAAGGGAGCGGGTGGATCTAGAGGAGGCAGTGGCGGAGGAGGTGGGGGTGGCGGGGGGAGTGGGGGTGGCGGTGGAGGTGGTGGCGGGAGTGGAGGTACTAATGGCGGCGGTGGAGGCGGAGGTGGCGGCGGAGGTGGTAGCGGAGGAGGCGGTGGGAGCGGTGGGAGCGACGGTCCTGGTGGGGGAGGTGGCGGTGGAGACGGGGGTGGCGGTGGAGGCGGGGGTGGTGGTGGAGGCGGGGGTCGGAGTGGCTCGTCCCAGCGGAGCAGCTCTTGGGGTGGTCAGCGCCAGCAGCAGCAGCAGCAGCAGCAGCAGCAGCAGCCGCAGCAGCAGCAGCGCTCTCGCACCGTCCCCGGCCCTCAGCAGCTCCGTGAGTGGTACTTGCAGCGTCAGCGCGGTGGTGCTCTTGGTCCCTGCCCCTACGTTCTTCGCACCGGTGACCGTGCGGGGGAGAGGTGTGGAGGCGCCCACACAGCCCGTCAGCTGCTTTGGCCGCCTGACCGACGCCTGGCGTCAGCAGTTTCCGGAGGCCGCTAAGATCCCCCGCTGGGGAGAGCTGTCTAGGGCTGGAGTAGCTATTTATGATCTTGACTTTGATGCTATTCTCTCTGCTATGTATGCTGTGACTGGTAGTGATGAGGATGACTGTTACCGGTGTTTCCCGCCCGACCCGGGCATTGGTACTGCCGCGTCAGGTACTAGTGAGGCTGCTGCTCTAGGTGCCAGTGCGTCTGTGCTCTCAGGTGCTGGTGAGTCTGCCCTCTCAGGTACTGTGTCGGCTTCGGCCTCTCACACCTTCACCCTTGACTCTGGAGCGTCTCGCTCCTTCTTTAGGGACCGCACCACTCTCACGCCGCTGAGTCGGCCGGTTGCAGTGTCCCTGGCTGACCCCTCTGGGGGGCCGGTCCTGGCTCGCTTCTCCACTGTCCTCCCGTGTCCGGCGGCCCCCTCTGGCACCCTGACTGGTCTCTACCTCCCCTCAGTTCTCGACGAACTTGGTGAGTGGTGCTGACCTCCAGGATGCGGGTGTCCACCAGTTCACCCCTGCTCGTCAGCGGGTGACCCACTGCACGGAGGAGGATACAGGTCGCCACCTGGCTACGTTTACACGTCGGCCAGGGTCGAGCCTGTACACACTGACCACTGCTTCTCCTCCAGGTGCTGAGTCTGGTAGGGTCCCTTCGTCTGGTCAGGTGTTTGCTGCAGCGTCCAGGTCTGGTCCTGAGTCCTGCCCCCTGCTCGTGTCGTCGTCTGTCTCACGAGACCCTCCTCTGGCACCACCGCCTTGGCCACCCCTCTCTGCTTCGGCTCAGAGGCATGGCCTCGCGAGTCCTTGTGTCTGGTCTTCCCCGGTCTCTCCCTCCCCTTCCTCCGGGCCCTGGCCCCTACCTGTGTCCCCTGTGTCGAGGGGCGCCAGCGTGCTGCCCCTCACTCCTCCCAGTTTCCTCCCACAGAGGCCCCGTTGCAGACGCTTCACATGGACGTGTGGGGCCCAGCCCGCGTCCGTGGACAGGGTCAGGAGCGCTACTTCCTGCTGGTGGTTGACGACTACTCGCGTTACACCACAGTCTTCCCCTTGCGCAGCAAGGGTGAGGTCACTGAGGTGCTGATCGACTGGATCCGCGCAGCTCGTCTCCAGCTTCGGAGGAGCTTTGGCTCTGACTTCCCTGTTTTGCGTCTGCACTCGGACAGAGGTGGAGAGTTCTCCTCCGGCCTCCTGAGTGCCTACTGTCGTGTGCGAGGCATCCGTCAGACCTTCACGCTTCCGGACTCACCGCAGCAAAATGGGATTGCTGAGCGCCGCATTGGCATGGTCATGGACGTCGCTCGTACGTCCATGATGCATGCGGCTGCTCCCCATTTTCTGTGGCCGTTTGCGGTCAGGTACGCTGCGCACCAGATCAACCTCCACCCCAGGGTCTCTCGACCGGAGACCTCCCCAGCCCTGCTGTGGACGGGGAAGGTTGGCGATGCGTCGGCGTTCCGGGTCTGGGGATCTCGGGCGTTTGTTCGCGACCTGTCTGCGGACAAGCTGTCCCCTCGTGCTTCTCCCTGCGTCTTCCTGGGGTTCCCCCCCGACGCCCCTGGGTGGCAGTTTTACCACCCCACCTCTCGACGTGTTCTGTCCTCCCAGGACGTCACGTTCGACGAGTCGGTGCCCTACTACCGCCTCTTCCCCTACCGCACTCCGTCCCTCCCCCCACCCCCGCTCTTCTTGGTACCAGGTCCCCCCCCGGTAGTCCCCCTCCCCCCTCAGGGTCCTGCCCCTTCAGGTGTGTCCCAGGTAGACGCGGTCGAGCCTGTCGAGGTCACTGGTGACTCTGGTACTGCTGCGGGAGCTGAGCCTGGGGGTGCTGAGTCTGGGGGTGCTGAGCCTGGGGGTGCCGAGCCTGGGGGTGCTGGGCCTGGGGGTGCTGAGCCTGGGGGTGCCGTGCCTGGAGGTGCTGTGTCTAGAGGTGCTGAGCCCGGGGGTGTTGTGCCTGGGGGTGCTTCGTCTCGCCGGGAGCCACTCTCCCCACAGGAGCTGCGTGAGTGGTTTGCCGGGCGCTGGAGGCGTGCTGCTGGTGCTGGTGGTTCTTCGGCTGCAGAGGGCACTGCTGCTGCGCGCCCCGCCGGTGCTCGTACTGTGGGTGCTGGAGCTGCTGAGTCTGAGAGTTCTCCTGGAGCTGGTCCTGCTGAGGGTGTTGGCGCTGAGCCTGCCGTTGGCGGCCCGACTGACAGTGCTCCTGGTGCTGCGGCTGGAGGTTCTGGAGCTTCTGGTGGTGCTGCTGGAGGTGCTGCTGGAGTGGGTGCTCCTGCCGGTGCTGCTGGTGCTGTTCCTGCTGTTTCTAGCGTCGCCGCGCGGCCCCGACCGTACTTCGTTCCGCTCCTGCAGCAGGTTCTTGGTCTTACACCTCCTCCTCCTCCCTTAGAGGGTCCGCAGCCTGTCCGGTCACAGCCACAGCTACAGCCTGCCTCCCCTTTGCCTGCTCCTTCTCCCTACGCTGGTCCGACTGGAGGTCTTACTGAGCGTCGTGAGCCTGCGTCTCGTCCTGTGTCGCCTGTTCGTACTGAGCGCGCTAGTGGTCGCGGGTCGCGTCAGCGTCCTCCTCCTGTCCCTGGCACGCACCGGATGTCACTGCGTCCGTCCACTGCTCCTCTGCGTGCCCCTTTGCCTTCTCCTCCTGCTTCCTCTCTTCCTGCTCTTGCCGACCCGGAGTCGGACGCTCTTCGTGCTGCCAGTCCTACTGTCACGCGTCTCCTGGCTACTGCTGTCACTGACCCCTCCTTCGAGTCGTCTGCTGCGTCTGCCCTTGTCACTGAGCTTGTCGACTTTGCTGCGCGCTGTCGTCTAGACTACGCTGCTCGTCTTGTCGCTGAGTCTGAGTCCGCCTGTCCTCCGTCCGTCGGGGGTGAGTGTGCCCTTGGCACGGACGTCCTTGAGGACAGGCAGGAGGAGTTCCAGTGTCTGGCCGCCGCTTCACCTCGTCTCGCGTCTGTACTGCTAGCCCCTGAGGGAGACCCGGATGCACCAGACATCCCGACTCCGCGCTCTTACGCGGAGGCGATAGAGGGTCCCTACTCCTCTCAGTGGCAGGCAGCTATGGATGCAGAGATGGCTTCCTGGAAGTCCACAGGCACCTACGTTGACGCTGTTCCCCCTCCTGGGGCAAACATCGTCAGTGGCATGTGGATTTTCAGGGTGAAGCGGCCGCCGGGTTCTCCGCCTGTCTTCAAGGCGCGTTACGTGGCTCGTGGCTTCAGTCAGCGGCAGGGGGTTGACTACTTTCAGACCTTCTCCCCCACCCCGAAGATGACCACTCTTCGGGTTCTGCTACACGTTGCTGCTCACCGTGACTACGAGCTGCACTCTCTCGACTTCAGCACAGCTTTCTTGCAGGGCAGCCTGCACGAGGAGATCTGGCTGCGTCGCCCACCTGGCTTCACTGGGTCTTTCCCTCCTGGTACCCAGTGGAGTCTCCGGCGTCCAGTCTACGGTCTCCGCCAGGCGCCACGTGAGTGGCACGACACACTGAGGACTACGCTTGCGGCACTTGGGTTTGCTCCTTCCACTGCCGACCCGTCGCTGTTTCTGCGCACCGACACCTCTCTGCCGCCGTTCTACATCCTCGTGTACGTCGACGACTTGGTCTTTGCCACAGCTGACACTGCTGGACTCGCCTACGTGAAGTCCGAGCTGCAGAAGAGACACACGTGCACTGACCTGGGTGAACTGCGCAGCTACCTTGGCTTGCAGATCACCCGGGACAGAGCACGCCGCACCATTACCCTGACTCAGTCACACATGGTGCAGCAGGTCCTTCAGCGCTTCGGCTTCACGTACTCCTCGCCTCAGGCCACTCCTCTGCCTACTCGCCACTCGCTCTCAGCTCTGCCTTCGGATGAGTCCGTAGAGTCGAGTGGCCCGTTACCCAGAGCTTGTTGGCTGCCTCATGTACCTGATGACCTGCACACGACCTGACCTTGCATACCCTCTTAGCATTCTCGCACGCTTTCTTGCTCCTGGGAGACACCGACCAGAGCACATGGCTGCAGCGAAGAGGGTGTTGCGCTACTTGTGCAGTACGTCGGGCATGGGGCTAGTGCTTGGAGGGCGCAGTCCAGTGGTCCTCACTGGGCACGCAGACGCTTCTTGGGCTGACGACCAGGCTACGCAGCGGTCGTCACAGGGTTACACCTTCAGCCTTGGTTCCGGCTCTGTCTCGTGGCGGGCTACCCGCTCGTCTTCTGTTCTCGGCTCCAGTTGTGAGGCTGAGATCTACGCTGGGGCTATGGCTGCACAGGAGTTACGCTGGCTCACCTACCTGCTGACCGACCTTGGAGAGCAGCCTCGTTCTCCTCCAGTCCTGTACGTAGACAACAAGGCCATGCTGGCCTTGTGTCGAGAGCAGCGACTGGAGCACAGAACGAAGCACATTGCTCTTCGCTACTTTCTTGCTCGTGAGCTACAGCAGCGTGGACAGTTGCGACTTGCGTACGTGGCCTCTGAGGCCAACACTGCTGATGTCTTCACCAAGGCACTTGCGCCTTGTGATCATCAGCGTTGCTGCACGCAGTTGGGTCTTGTGCCTGTCTTGCCTCACTTGCTCTCCTCTTGACCTTGCTTGTACTTTCGCATATATATACTCTTGCTCTTGTATATCTCTATATATGATCTTGCATGTGAACTGGCCTTGTGGCCTTTGAACTTGTGCTCGGAATGCGTGGTGACTTTGTGATCCACCCTGAGCTTTGCTTTGCTTTGCTTGACCGGTCTTGTGACCCCTTGTTCTCCCCCACTTTGCCTATGGGGGTGTGTCAGAACTTATAGCTTACTTGTTTCTGTAGGCTATAGTGGGGTATCCCATAGGGGGTACAACCCAATTAGGGTTTCCTATTTGTACTCACTTCATTCATAGTCATTCCACTTCTCGTTCGTACTTTCTCATGTTCTTTTTATTTTGCACACGCTAGGCCCTTGTTCTTGCAATTTTGCACATGCTAGACCCTTGTTTTTTTTATTTTGCACACGCAAGGCCCTTGTTCTTGCTATTTCGCGAACGCTAGGCCCTTGTTCTTGATTTTTTGCACATGCTAGGCCCTTGCTCTTGCTATTTTGCACTCGTTAGGCCCTTGTTCTTGCAATTTTGCACACGCTAGGCCCTTGTTCTTGCAATTTTGCACACGCTAGGCCCTTGTTCTTTTTATTTTGCACACGCTAGGCCCTTGTTCTTGCTATTTCGCGAACACAAGGCCCTTGTTCTTGATTTTTTGCATACGCTAGGCCCTTGGTCTTGCTATTTTGCACTCGCTAGGCTCTTGTTCTTGCAATTTTGCACACGCTAGGCCCTTGTTCTTGCAATTTTGCATACGCTAGGCCCTTGTTCTTTTTATTTTGCACACGCTAGGCCCTTGTTCTTGTATTTTGCACATGCTAGGCCCTTGTTCTTGCTATTTTGCACACGCTATGCCCTTGTTCTTTTTATTTTGCACACTCTAGGCCCTTGTTCTTGCAATTTTGCACATGCTAGACCCTTGTTCTTTTTATTTTGCACATGTTAGGCCCTTGTTCTTGCTATTTCGCGAACGCTAGGCCTTTGTTCTTGATTATTTGCACACACTAGGCCCTTGCTCTTGCTATTTTGCACTCGCTAGGCCCTTGTTCTTGCAATTTTGCACACGCTAGGCCCTTGTTCTTGCAATTTTGCACACGCTAGGCTCTTGTTCTTGCTATTTTGCACACGCTAGGCCCTTGTTCTTTATATTTTGCACACGCTAGGCCCTTGTTCTTGCTATTTTGCACACGCTAGGCCCTTGTTCTTTTTATTTTGCACACGGTAGGCCCTTGTTCTTGCAATTTTGCACATGCTAGACCCTTGTTGTTTTTATTTTGCACACGCTAGGCCCTTGTTTTTGCTATTTCGCGAACGCTAGGCCCTTGTTCTTGATTTTTTGCACACGCTAGGCCCTTGCTCTTGCTATTTTGCACTCGCTAAGCCCTTGTTCTTGCAATTTTGCACATGCTAGGCCCTTGTTCTTGCAATTTTGCAAACGCTAGGCCCTTGTTCTTTTTATTTTGCACACGCTAGGCCCTTGTTCTTTTTATTTTGCACACGCTAGGCCCTTGTTCTTGCTATTTTGCACACGCCATGCCCTTGTTCTTTTTATTTTGCACATGCTAGGCCCTTGTTCTTGCTATTTCGCGAACCCTATGCCCTTGTTCTTGATTTTTTGCACACGCTAGGCCCTTGCTCTAGCTATTTTGCACTCGCTAGGCCCTTGTTCTTGCAATTTTGCACACGCTAGGCCCTTGTTCTTGCAATTTTGCACACGCTAGGCCCTTGTTCTTTTTATTTTGCACACGCTAGGCCCTTGTTCTTGTATTTTGCACATGCTAGGCCCTTGTTCTTGCTATTTTGCACACGCTATGCCCTTGTTCTTTTTATGTTGCACACGCTAGACCCTTGTTCTTGCAATTTTGTACACGCTAGGCCCTTGTTCTTTTTATTTTGCACACGCTATGCCCGTGTTATTTTTATTTTGCACACGCTATGCCCTTGTTCTTGCAATTTTGCACATGCTAGACCCTTGTTCTTTTTATTTTGCACACGCTAGGCCCTTGTTCTTGCTATTTCGCGAACACAAGGCCCTTGTTCTTGATTTTTTGCATACGCTAGGCACTTGGTCTTGCTATTTTGCACTCGCTAGGCCCTTGTTCTTGCAATTTTGCAAACGCTAGGCCCTTGTTCTTTTTATTTTGCACACGCTAGGCCCTTATTCTTGTATTTTGCACATGCTAGGCCCTTGT